GAGGCAAGGAGAGGGAAGGTGGCCCCGTACCTTATAGCTAAAGGATCCACGACTCTTGGGGGCGATCAAAAAGTGACAGTGTGCTTGCTGAAGGGAGAAGGCGAAAACAGAAATTCAAAGGCAGGGGCACGGTGTTCTGCATATAGGGAACAGCAGATTTGTCCGTGAAGTTCCTGACATGAACAAGTGAGCAGGAGGTTTCAAAACTGAACTGTGAGAGAGGCGAGGGCCCAACCAGAAGAAAGAGGGTCAGGGCAGGAGGCTGGACATGTGAGTGGGACCGGACTATACCCTGGCGGGCTGGGGCTGGGGAACCACTTGCAAGAGATAGTGACTCACACTGAAGAGAGGGCAGATGGAGGTGCGAGGCAGGAGTGAGGGAGTCCAGAGAGAACACTTCTGCAGATGGCCATAGTGGAGCTGCTGGTGGCATGGCCTGGTGCAATTGGTGATGCATAAGCTGAGGGAGGAGGAGAGACGGATGCTGGCTTTGCTTAGGGGGAGACTTGGCAAGCCTGCGCTTCCTGGCACTGGGGAGTGCGGGGGAGGAAGGAGCAGGCGTGACTCAAAGCTGTTGGTTTGGGCAGATGGGAGGACAGTGGTGCCATTTGCTGAGCTCAGTTGGGGCTGAGGAGGTTGGAGGGTGGTGGGAGAGTGTGGCTTGAAGTTATCAGGGAGGAAGCTGGGGGGTCGACTGGCAAATGGTGAGCTGTAAGAGAGGAGGAGCCACGTGAAGCTAAGCAGGGGTGGTGTGAAGCTCCCTTCACGTACCTAGCTGAGCGGCTTCACCGATGCTCTCAGCCCTCTCGAGTAGTTAGTTTTCTCGTGTGTGTGGTGGGAAGGGGAGGCCAGTCAATCTCCAGAGCAGTTGTGGCAGCCTGCAGAGTAGGCCCTCATGGCCTTCGCTTACTGCTGTTCACACCTCCCATATTGTAAAAGGTTGGGTCTGTGAGGAAAAAAAACAAACGATGTGGGCATACAACTTTTGAGGTTGACTTACACGGCTACCATCTGGCATGTCACTTATGCTGAGGATGCTTGCTGCCATTTGTCAGGGACAGCTCATGTGACAAGGAACTAATGATTCATGCTAAAAGTCACATGAGTGAAGGGGTGACTTCTCTAGTTTTCTGATGACTAACCACGGATGACAGTGGCTCTGCAAGACCTCAGCCCAGGGAACATGAGTGATAAACAGGTACTCTAAACCCCTATATTTTGAGATGATTTGTTACCAAGCAAGAGAAAACTAACTGTTGCCGAGGATAAAGGCACTTCCCACAGTGTCTGGCACATTGTTGGGGGTGTCTATAGATGCAGGACCTAGAGAGGGATCACTCTAGAGGTGAGCAGGGCCTGGGCTGGAGGTATGGACCTGGGAATGCTTGGCATAGAAACAGCCATGAACTTCATAGAAGTGCCTGAGCCAGTCTGGGGAGAATGTTAGAGAGGGGAGGTTGCCACTGAAACTCAGGTATAAGAGATGGGGAAAGCAAGAGAAGCCCCTCTGAGTGTGACAGGAGGAGTTATAAAAGGAGAAAAGCAGAGAGAATGGCATCCTGAGGCGCTGGGCACCTGCCCCTCTGTAGAGGCCTGGGTCATGATTGTTCAATACCACAGAAAGTCCTACTAGTTTTAGTAGGACCCATTTAAGTAGGAGGTGGGCCCAGATTGAATAGTGTGGGTCATGGATTTATAACAGGAAAATAAAGGGAGGGATCACTAGGTGAAAGGGGAGGTCTGTTGATCAGTGTCAGCTAGAGTCCTGTGACTGTTTATCTGCAGAGAGTCAGCAGAGGCAGAACAGAAGGGATCATTCTAGGGAGGCTCCAGGGCTAGAAACAGGGATGGACCCTAGGTGGGATTCATCTGGCCAGGAAAGAGACTTCCTTAACCATCTTAATTAGAAAGGGCAGTGAAAGGCAGGTAAATCCTGAGCAGGTAGAGGAGGGTTTCCAGGAGATCCATTGAAGATTCAACATTCTGTCATGTGGGAGGTGAGGTACACCAACCAGCAGTAGGGTAAGGGATAACTCAGATTGACAGGCTGAATTCCAACAGGCAGGTTTTTCAACTGTGGCTTTCTTTTCCCCTTTGTCTTCTTGCAGCCTGTTGGTCTGGATTCCCTACGGTAGCATTTGTAGCTGCTATGGTAACAGCCTCTTCCAGGCTAACCCAGCCATGGGGCAGACAAGACCATCCAGACTCTCTTCAGCACAGGAGCCTTGACACCTGGAGGTTCCCAGGAATCATTGGAGTGGAGTGTGGGTGTATGGGTGGGATTTGCCAGCCAGGAGCTGGTGTTCCCTTACAGGCTGGTACCTCTGAGCTGTGTGCAGAGTCAAATAGTTTCCAGGGTAACCTTCCATCATCAATCCCTAACCAAGAGCTCTGGATGATTTACAGGAGTACTGAACTACACAAAACCTCAGTCACAGAGAAGCCTCTCTGCTGTGAACAATCACTTCTTAGTTTAAGAGTCTCAGGTTACTTTGATAGCAAAACCACAGAAGGATAGAATAATATACAAAAATAGGCCTATCTCTTTCATACCATGGAAGCAAAAAACTCCTAATAAAATATTAACCACCAAAATCCAGCAGTATTGTTAAAAAATAATACGTCACCAATAATGCATGGATGGTTTAACAACAGTTCAAGACTGGAACTCATTAAATTAATACCCATTCATAGCAAACAGATGCTTCCTAACTCTACAAAGATTCTCTGTCAGAACTAAGAACCAACACCACACTTAGTGGTGACATTCTAAAATCAAAAGGACAACATAACAATGCCTATTGTCATGGGTGGTATTCAGCTCAATGTGGGCAAATTTAATCAGCAGACAAAAAGGAAACAATTAGATAAAGTCCAGACAAAAGCTATGAATTGCCATTACTTTTGTACTCTATGGTTATTTATACAGAAAATCTAAACACACTTCAAGTCTTATTAAAACTAAGAATTAAGTTTGCTGGATAAAATGCTATTATACAAAAATACCAAAGTCACTTCAATGAATTATACATTTGGAAATGCCATTTATAATATCTATATAACCTTTGAGACAAGAATGATCAGACTTAGCTGAGTGTGGCACACACACCTCTAATTTTAGCACTCAGGAGGCAGGAGGATCTCTGTGAGTTTGAGGCTAGCTAGGTTTACAGAGTGCCAGGACAGTCCAGTCTACACAGAGAAATCCTGTCTCTAAAAGAATAAGTCACTGATCACTGACATTTTTAGACTGTTACCTTGGAACACTATATTCAATGGTTTATCCTTCGACTTTTTTCTATGAATATTCATTAAAAATTAACATTAGCTGGGTGGTGATGGTGCAGGCCTTTAATCCCAGAACTCTCAAGGCAGAGGCAGGCAGATCTTTGGAGTTCAAAGCCAGTCAGAATGAGTTCTAGGGCAGCCAGTGCTACAAAGAGAAACCTTGACACGAAAAAACCAAAACCAAACCCAATCACCTTCCACCCCCCTCAAACAAACAAACAAAAATCAACATTAGGACACTGCATGCATTATTTTGTATACTGATTTGTGTAAGCATTTTCCTGTATCCTTACTTCGTTTGTATTTTCACTTAGTGAACATGTCAACATAGCCCTCCATTATGTTGAAGTCCATGTTACTTATTTAACCTATCAATTTGATTTTTGGAAAAAAATCAAATGTTAGGTATGACCCTTGGTGATCATTTTCATAAAAACTAGATTCCAGAACCACCTCACAAACAAGCATATGTATAAACCAGGTGAGTTTCTGTTTTGTTCTTTTGAGACAAAGTCTCATTATGCAGCTTGGCTGGCCTGGAGCTTTCTATGTTGACCAGGCTAACCTAGAACTCACAGGAGACCGTCTTGTCTCTGACTTTTGCTGGGATTGAAGGCATGCACCACCTTTACCACACCAAGCCCAGGTGAGTTTCTAAGGCTAGTGGTTTTTCACACGAGTGAAAAACCCAGCTAACTGTAAGCAAACGGCTTCTGGATATCGTCTATGCAGAGTCCAATTAGCTCTACTGCCTTGGCCTCCCTGCTGAAGTGGGGACAGTATCCTTGCCTACCCCATCCAGGTCATGCTCTTTTGAGGTTTTGCATATGATGATATAGCTCTGCCCTTCAACTGGCTGATCTCCGCTTCCCAAAAGGCCGGATAGGTGGTCCCTCGCAGTTATTAATTTACAGAACGGCCTGCCTACATATAAGACCAGGAGGGTTTTGAAAGCAAGAGTTCGTCCCTCTTTCTCCACGGCAGCCTTCTAGTTGGGCCCCTCCCAGCAGGATTCGAATTTGTCTTGTTTTGTCTACTGGCTGCTTTCTTGAGTCTCGGAACTTGCTTCGGTCTGGGAGGATGCTGCACTCCCCAAGCCCAGCACGCGATGAGCTCCGTCAATTTAGTGAAAACAGCTGGGGAGAAACAGCTGCAGGGACTGGCAAGGCCGTGGCACGCACAGAAGACACCACCCACAGCTAGGAGGACTACAGCCTGAGCGCGGAGGCGGAGTTAGGGGCGGGGTCTGGGCGGGGCTCCCAGAGGGAGTCCTGTGCGGGGCGGGGCTAGGGACGGGCCAGAGGCGGGGCTTCGGCGCTGCAGCAGAGCCCTCCTGACCACGCCGACCAGGCAGCGCCCCGAACGCCCGCGGCCGCCCGGCTCCCCGGCCTCCGCCTCACGCCGCCGATAGGGGGCATCCGCGCTCTCGGCCCCGCGACTCCACTGAGAAGGCGCCGCCCGCGCCGGGCAGCTGGAGCCGCAACTCCGGGCGCCGGCTCAGTCGTCCCCGCCGCCGCCGCCGCCGCCGCTGACGCTGCCGCCGGGCGCAGGCTCGCTCGCGCTCTGGGCCGCCGGCGTCTCCCGGCCGGGTCGCCGTTGCGCTCGCGCAGTGAGTGGGGCGGGAGCCGGGCCTGTGGGGCTGGGGCTGCGGGAAGTCGGGCTGAGGAGGACGGCGGGTGGCGGCCGCGCGTCCCGGGGCTGGCACGAGCCCGCGGCGCGGCCTGGGCGGGGGACTTCGGGGACGCGCGGCCGCCGCGGACTCCGAACTCCGGCTCGGGTTCGGGGCTCGGTGCTCGTGGCCGGCCGGGCTTGGCTTGCGGGCGACCGTGGAGTGCGGCCCGGCCCGGGATCCCCGAGCTCTGCGCGGAAAGGATTATTTTTTGGAGAGTGGCGCTTATTAGTCGGCACTGCCCTAGTTTAGAGCCCTGCCTTTGGGGTTTTCTGCTCGGATTGCAGCTTTCTCCTGGGATTTCGGGATGTCACGGCGTTTTAGTGTTGGGTGTCAGAGGGGATCCTTGGCGAGGTCGTGGAGAGCCCCTGCAGCACCTGATTGGCGATGGCAGAGGAGACTGTGTCTGAGGGTGGGACAGAGAAACGAAACGTGACTGAGATCCTGTTTGGATATTCTGCTGAAGTTGTCATGTTTCTGTTCAGTACACAGCAAGTTGATAAACCGGGTTGTAGTTATTTGGTGATGCAAGGTGTTTGACTGACAAATAGACCTGGGGTGATCTGGTTTGGCTAAGAATGTTTGGAATATCCCAAGTATCTGTCTCCAACGTATCCCTCTTGGCAGGCTCATCTTTTACTCTGTTGCAAATATTCAAGTATAGGAATAATGCTGCGGTAACACAGGCCTGAAACCGAGAAGTGTTTTCAAAAGAGCAAAAGTCCAGGTAGGCAGATAGGTAGCGTGGGAGAACTCACCCTTGAAAACCAGTTACCCTCACGGATTCTTAGTTTTTTGTAATGTCTCAGATAGGAAGATAGCCATAGATGATGCCATCTATAAGGTTTGTGGTTCGAATTTTCTTAAAGCATGTTTTAGGGAAAGCAGTATCACATAAAGCAATGCTATGGTCATGCCTTTGATCTTTCAGTGTATCTTGGATTTTAGTAGCTGGGGTCTATTTTAAATGGATCACATATACTCGTGTTCTGCTTAACTTGGAGACAACCCTGAGTCATGCTTTGTAGAAGTTACGGAGCTCACGTGTCTGTTGTGTCTGTGAGTGCTGGGACATGCTTTACCTTTACTTATTACCGTCGCTGCAGCCGCTATGGGAACTCCTGGGAAAGGAGGGCCTGGGCGATTGGGAGCACAGACCGAACTTTCCCTGACTTTCCTCAGGTTCTCGTTTTCTCATGGTTAGCCCTTCTCTGCTGGGAGGGTGCACAGTGACTTCGGAAAGTCATTGCTGCCCTGCCAGCCAGTTTTTTACCTAGCTGTGTTTACTTTGGGGAAGGTCATAGTAGCCCATTTTAGTGGAAACTGAGGGGCAGTGGGATTTTATGATTTTTTTTTCTTTTTGGATTGTGTCAACACTTTAGCTGCAGAGTTTGTGTTCTTTTGGTTTGATACTTTAGATAATTCATAATTTTTTGTAAGACTGTCTTTCTGCCTTCAGCTCTTCTAGCCCACATGGTTGAGAGAGGAGAAAAAGAAAAAAAATCCATCTCTGGTTTAGTTTATCGGTAATTTAGTTTTACGATCCCATTATCCTATGTGTTTGGCAACTTGTGCTGGCCTGTATGTGGATATTAACTCAGAGGACTCCTTTAGATGCCACTGAACCAACTACTATAAAAAGTATTTCACTTTCAAACACCCACGTTCCCAAGAACAGAGAAAGTCAGTACAAAGGCAGTTTGGAAGGTAAGTATAAGTGGAGAAAATTTCCTGAGTCTTCATTTTGGGATGCCAGGCACAAAGGTCTCAGTAGAAAAGCACTTGAAGGGGCCACCCAGAAACACTGGGAAGGAAGTGGTTACAGTGGTATCATTACTCCTTCAAATTTGGAGGTTTGTGTTACAGCACATATGGGAGTAGGACTTCTGCCCTGGGGGAGCCTCAATCTATAGCAGAAGTAAGTCTAGAATATTTGTGTTAATTTACCATAGCCCCTAACGGCAGCTCTGCTGGAGTAAGAAGGATACCATTGGGGGTTCTCAAATGCTTTTAAGTTGTTAGCTTACTGACTTGTGCATTTTTCAGATTCACTGGGGCAATCAGTTCATAATGTCTTTCAGGCTTCTAGAAATTCTTCCGGATATATTTTTCTTAACAACCTGCTAGCATGAATTGACACCATAACCTTTGAAGCCTAAGCATAGGGAACTTCAGGGTCGCCTTACAGTCTCTGGGCCATGAATTTTATTTGTATCAAAGGTAAGATATTTTCAGGTGAACTGATTTTACAAAGCCAAAAGGCCTTTCTTTGAACTTTATAAATGTTTGGTTGTAGTCACTGCCCTAAGAAGGATCTTTAGTGAGGGAAATACCTTTAAGGGAATGTTATGAGGGATGTCTCACAGATTTTCTGAAGAAGTATTTCTTGACGTTGCCCTCAAGTAAAACAGGCCTGTTTGGTGCCCACTTCAAGGCCGTCTTTTGCCTGGCTTGTGGTTATTTAAACTTCTCATTAAGTCCCCTCTTGAGATTGTGTTGGATTGGAGAGAAGATGAAAAGGAAATGAGTTGTTAGCACCCGTGGGAAAGGGTTCAGTGGGAGAGACTGAAGCTGTTGTGGAAAGTCTTTGGGGTTGTGTTTTATCGAATCCATGTCTGAGATGTCTCTGATAGTCATCAGTTCGGAGCCCGGCTGTTGGGTAAGCAAGAGCCTTGCCTCGCTCCTGTCACTAACTTTTCATAGAGATGCTCCACCCCAGCAGATGTTTACAGGCAAGGCGTGAGACCAGTTTCAAATGAATTGAGACTACCTTTTTTTTTGCTTTTTGAGTTTATTTGTGAAGAGTTTATTATTATTTTTTAGGTATCTTAATTATATTGGAAGTAACTAGTAGTGACTGTCTCATTTTATTTTGATGTATCTTACATACAAGTATAAGACTCTGCGATCCTGGCCTTGAATTACAGAGCTAGCTTGATAGTAAAAGGCACACATCAGAGCATGAGTGCCTCCAACCCCCCCACACACAAAGAAAGTGGGGGAGGGAGGGAAGGAAGGAAGGAGTGAGTGAGTGAGTGTATATTCCCACGACTACTTTCCTTGATTATTAAGTTTGACATCTGTTACGAGTTTGTAGCCAGACCTTGGCTTTTGCTGTGGAAGAGATTCAGAAGCATCAAAAAAAATTTGTTTTGCTGTTTTTTGTTTGTTTGTTTTTTTGTTTTTCGAGGCAGGGTTTCTCTGTGGCTTTGGAGGCTGTCCTGGAACTCGCTCTTGTAGACCAGGCTGGTCTTGAACTCACAGAGATCCACCTGCCTCTGCCTCCTGAATGCTGGGACTAAAGGTGTGCGCCACCAACGCCCAGCTTGTTTTGCTGTTTTAATGTTTGCACAGAAAGTTATCTTGTTTTGATTTAAAAGTGAAGACATAAATATGAAAGGTTAGTCCTGGCATAGTAGTGGTGACATTTCTGTCTGATAATTTTCTTATGTTTTGGCCTTCCATTCTTCACGAGCCATTTGAATGTTCATGAACTGGGATTCTTCCTTTGCTTAAGATGGACAGCAGCCATCAGTCTCACTAGTGAGTAGTTCTTGCCATTTTCATTTAGTAGTGGAAATTTTTTCAGACTCATTATGACTAGTTAGCCTAAGTTTTTGTAAAATTGTAAATAAAGTGCCAGGTAGATGGGGTTAATAGTTGGCTATGGGGGATGTAAAGTTGATGCTGTTCAATTTCTTGTTTTGTTTTGTTTTTGTTTTTTTTTTGGATTTTGTTCTTTGAATGTCTACTATCGGAGGGGCTTTTGGAAAACTCTAGACTAGGAGTCAGAAAACACAAGCTTGTCCAGGTGTCCCTGCCTCTTTGTTTTATAGCTAACTGGGTGTGCCACCAGAGGAAAGACTGCTACATCTGCCTGACTCGAGAATCCCTTCTCAGGCTGTGCATTTTCTCCCAGTGTTCCACTGAGTGAGCTATCTTCTGAAGCCCTACATTTTCCCATTTGGAGTCTAGGTCTCTTCCTCCCGAGGACTCCACCAGTCCATCCTACTGCAAAGCAGTTTGGAATTACATTGTGGGCTTCAGGTGTTGCATGTTGCCTTTGTAGACTGAAAACTCCACGAGGTCAGTGTTATACTTCCTTCTTCCTGTGTATCTGTATCTCACATGGACTCCCTCGCCCCATGATAGGGGACCTAAGATAAATTTTGTCTGAATGATTACTAAGGCACTGGGGAAAGAATGCTTTGAGTTTGGGGAAATGCCTTTTAACTTACTCCATCACTGATTTGTTGTTATCAGTAATGACACCAAAACCTTCCACTTCCGTCCATCAGTTGGGCTTTGCGGAGTTAAGTCAGAGAAAGAAAAGGTAAAACAGCTCTGGGTTTGCGTCTGTTCCATCTCACTATAGCACATGGAGGCCTGACCACCCCTACCTCGCTGCTGAGGGTAAAGGATGACAGCTGATGCTTCTGTCAGTCCACATTTTAGCTTGTTTGCTTTGAAGAATTTGTAAAGAAAGGTAGCAAAGTAGCTGCTGCAGGCTCTGATTTCAGCCCCTGCTGTGCTATGCAAATGTTCTCTCCATGCCTGAGTGACCTTTTGAGAAAGAGCCTTTGTCATCTTCTGTAGCCAGGGCTTGCTCTTGTTCTGAAAATGCGGACCAGATTCCTCTAAAAGTGGGGGGAAAATGGATCTTCAAAGACCACACACAAGGCTGGGGCTTTTCTTGGGTGTAGGATGATAGATCCAAGCTTCTTCGCATCTTTGCTAGCAGCTTTGAAATTTACTCTGCAGTTTGCTTTGCAGGTTCATTTTGGGAACAGAGTGTGTAAGCGGGAACTGCCAAGGCAGTTCAGTAGCTGCGGAACAGTGGCATGCCCTGGAATTGGCCACAAAAGCAAAGCCGCATCGTTAGCACATGGGCCTTTGCTAGTGGCCTAAGGCTGGCTCTCCATGGTGCTGGCTGAGTGGCCCTCAGCCAGGTCTGTAAGGTTCTTTTTGTACCGAATTGTACCTTAACAGCTTAAATCAGTTTCTGTCTGTTTTGATTAATGTGCAAAGAGAAATACTTCATTATTAAGTGTGATTGGTTTTTTTACATTATAAAATAATATCCTGGTGTTTTTCTCTTGGGAAGTGACCGTTACTTTTGAAGCTCATGATATTAAGTGCTTTCTGAGATGCTTAGTTTATGCCAACTGACCTGTTTGCTGATCCAAAGAAATTACCCCTCTTTTCCCTTAAATGACTTTTTTGATGTAGAGCATCTTTTAGGTCTGAATCGATGTAAGGTTGTAGACCTAATCATAACGTTCCTTGAAAATCTAAACTATTACATTTTCAGAGTACAGTGGCATCATTTGTCAGAGTTTTTATTATATGTGGTGGTGCATATGACTGTGTGTGTGGAAGTCAGAATACAACTTATAGAAGTCAGTTTTCTCTTTCCACCATGAGGATCCTGGGGATCAAACTCAGGTTTTCAGGTGCCCAGAGTGATAGACTCAGAATGGTCTTTCCTCTTTCTCCAAAAATAGGCTAGCTCTTGTGCCAAGTGGGCTCCAGGGGTAAGGACAAAGCATGGTATAGCTTTCTTCCCATATCTTTGTCCTGGTGTAGGTGCTGGGTGATCATATGTGAGCAGACTGTGAGGTTTGATCTTCTACATCAGGCAGAATAGCCTTTATTCTCCATTGTCATGGTGATGTGTTTGTTTTCTTCTTTCAAAGTCTTTCTGGCTCCTGAGCTCCCGAAGACGAAGTGCTGGAGCAGATGGATAATGGAGACTGGGGCTATATGGTGAGTGGGTCTTGCCGCACTTTGAAGGCTGACAAATAATTTTGATGTCTTTCTCTTTGCACATTTATAGGGTTATCTTGCAAGGATGAAAACTATGAATTTGTGCAGCTCCATCTAATTTGTGTAGATGTATTTGGAGTGGGCATTATTATTTGGCTTGACATTTTAGTAAAAGTCTTGCCGACAGTGGTGGTGCAGGCTTTTAATCCCAGTATTTAAGAGGCAGAGGCAGGTGAATTTCTGTGAGTTTGAAGTCAGTGAGGTCTACAGAGCGAGTTCCAGGGCAGGTTCCAAAGCTACACAGAGAAACCCTGTCTCAAAAAAATAAAAAAGACTCAACGAAAAATTCTCCAAATAACTTAAATTTCCTTATTTTATTTTTCTGATGTGTGGGTGAAGCAGTGAGTGCAGTGTTCTTGGAGGCCAGAAGAGGGCATATGTTCCCTAGAGCTGCTGTGAGCCACTCAGACATTGGTACTGGAAATGAAACTCAGGTCCACTGCAGTAGTACATTGCTTTTAACTCCTGACGTCTCTCTGCCTATTTATTAACCTACTTATAGCCACTAAAATCAGACAGACCATTATGCTTTGATCTTAGGTATATGTTACTTTTGAATTCCCTGTCCATAGAATGGAATTTCTAAAGGGCCTGGGGAGAATGGAATAGAAAATGCTTTGCTGTAGTAAAGGGATTAATAGGTGGAAGGAGTTTCTTCTTACTTGCAGTTTTCACATGTGTCCATGTCTCCCCATTTTCTTCTTCATCTGGTAAGAAATACTTTGCTTACTTAGAACATGAAGACTGACTTTTTTTTCTTAAATAAAATTTCTAAAGCTAAAGGTATGTTATTTTGAGAAGTTCCCTTCTCAGAATTAAAGGTCAGATTGCAACAATAGCATTACAAAAATATATGCACAATCAGATTGTGACATTTTGAAGTTGCTACCAGCCCTTGGGTATGTGGTAGTTTGGGGAGAGAATGTAGGCTAGATTGTGTGTACTAAACCTTACATATTTTCATTTAGTGTTGGGAACTTATTTCCTGGCATGGTGGCACAGGTCTGTAATGTCAGCACCTGGGAGTGCTAAGGTTTGTGGGTTTGTGGCCTGCTTTTATCTACATAGTAAGATGTTGTCTGAACAAAAACAAAAGCAAAAACCATAAAAGAAAAAGAAATCATAGGATGGTGGTGGCACATGCCTTTTATTTCAGTACTTGGGAGATAGAGATAGGAGGATCGCTGTGCGTTCAAGGCTAGCCTGGTCAACAGAGTGAGTTCCAGAACAGCCAAGGCTCCACAGAGAAACCCTGTCTCATAAAACAAAAAGAAAGAAAGAGAGTGAGTGAGGGAAAAAGAAAAAAAGAAATCGTTGCTTCCATGAAAAGAATTACTAAGATTGATTCTAACAAATTTTTTGTCTTTAAGATACTTTTGGGGGCTGGAGAGATGGCTCAGCAGTTAAGAGCACTTATGTTCTTGCAGAGGACCTGGGTCTGGTACCCAGCATCTAGCCTGTGGCTCACCACCATCGGTAACTCCAATTCCTAGATCCATCCATGCCCTTGGCCTCCATGAGGTTCACATACTTACAAGCAGGCAAAACACTCACATTCATTATATATATTTTGAAGCTGGGTGTGATGGTGCATACCTGTGATCTTAACACTAGGGCAGAGGCAGGAGGATCAGGAATTCTAGACCATCCTTAGCCACACAGTAAGTATAAGGCCAGTATATGATATGTGAAAGTTTGTCTCAAAAAAAAAATTACATCTTACCATTTCATGACTCATTTGAAGGAAAAAAAACCAAAATCCCCAAAGTTAATTGGTCTACATTATCAGATTATTTTTATTCTAGCTTCTGCTAAATTTAAACATTGGAATGTCTTGTCAAGTGTGATAGCACACACCTTTAATTCCAGTAGGGAGGAAGAGGGCAGGCAGATCTCACCAAAAACCTCTTCAGGTTTCTGGACTTGACTGTATGAGACTAAAGGTCACATCTGGCAGGAGTAGAGTAACTTTTAAAAGATTGGATTTATTTGATTTGAAAGCAAATGTTGGGGCTGGAGAGATGGCTCAGTGGTTAAGAGCACCCACTGCTCTTCCAGAGGACTTGGATTTAATTCCCAGCAACCACCTGGTGGCTCACAGCTATCTATAATAAGATCAGGTACCCTCTTCTGGCATGCAGGCAGGACGTTCTATACATAATAAATAAATCTTAAAAAAACAACATAAAAGCAAATGTTGAAGCCCTTCTCCTAAGTTTTATTATTGAAAGTAAAGCCATTTTGCACCATGGTTCTGCCAAATATATTATAGCTTGAAGAAGTCTTATCCTTGCTTATTGGTCTTGATATTCTTAATTTGTTGAAGCTAAGATTTTGAGGTTTCTATTAATAACTGTTTTTTTTTTAATTTCAGATGACTGACCCAGTCACATTGAATGTAGGTGGACACTTGTACACAACATCCCTTACCACATTGACACGTTATCCAGATTCCATGCTTGGAGCTATGTTTGGGGGGGACTTCCCCACAGCCAGAGACCCTCAAGGCAATTACTTCATTGATCGAGATGGACCTCTTTTCCGATATGTCCTCAACTTCTTACGAACTTCAGAATTGACCCTCCCCCTGGACTTTAAGGAATTTGATCTGCTTCGGAAAGAAGCTGATTTTTACCAGATTGAACCCTTGATTCAGTGTCTCAATGACCCTAAGCCTTTGTATCCTATGGATACTTTTGAAGAAGTTGTAGAGCTGTCTAGTACCCGGAAGCTTTCTAAATATTCCAATCCTGTGGCTGTCATCATAACCCAATTAACCATCACCACCAAGGTCCATTCCTTACTAGAAGGCATCTCAAATTATTTCACCAAGTGGAATAAGCACATGATGGACACCAGAGACTGCCAGGTTTCCTTCACCTTTGGACCATGTGATTATCACCAGGAAGTCTCTCTCAGGGTCCACCTGATGGAATACATTACAAAGCAAGGTTTCACAATCCGCAACACTCGGGTGCATCACATGAGCGAGCGGGCCAATGAGAACACAGTAGAGCACAACTGGACTTTCTGTAGACTGGCCCGGAAGACAGATGACTGATTATCAGCCCTGGGGAGAACTTCCTGTAAGCTCATGTTTTTGGGGGACATGGAAGAGACTGTTGTTCTTTTTTAAATCATAGTGTGCCCTCCCTTTTAATATTTATATTTATTTGAAAGCATTGAGGACCAGAAGGAAGTTTCATGTGTGGACAGTCTTCTCCCTGTTTTGTTCCCAAGTATGCATGTGCTGTTCAGAATCCAGAAACCTTTTGATAAAAAGAGATCTGAAAATCATTATGATATATAATCTGCCCTAACAGTGCTAAAATGATTTCTGATAATGTGGTCCCTAACTCAACTAGAAGGCTAAAAATATAGTAATGAAAGATTAAGCAGAGTATTCATGATGTCTTTGAAAAAAATCAGAATATCATGTAGGGTGAGCTCAATTCCAGACCAGTAGGCAGTAGTGTTTTAAAGGAAAACTGGTCAGTCATCTGCCGGTACTTGTTAAGGACTGCTTCCTACAGTTTTGACAACTGTTTCTTTCTATGCATATAAATCAAGCAACCAAATATCTGTAGCCATTGGAATGTCTGACTAGAAATATTTATATTGGATTCTCAATATAAAATGTCCCTGTGGTAGAAACCTTATGCCTGGTACAGTTTTATTCCCAAGTGTACTGTCTACCGGGAAAGAAAAATCTAATAAAAAATGGAGTATGAACATTAAGGGTTGTATTTATTGCTATATAATGGGAAAATCATATTCTTGGTCAAAAGTATGCATTGCCTATGTCTCAATTAAACCGTTTATAGCACATTTGTAGTAGAGTTGATAGGACTCAGTGGAACCTCAGATTTTAGTTCATAAAGCCAGCTGTGTCTCTGGAGATAAGTAGTTTTGTCTAAAGAGTAAAAAACCATTTTCAGATAGGATTTACAGTGAATATTATCGGGTTTTCAAATGTCACAGCTATGAATGTGACTCACTCCAGCTTGTGCTACATACACATGGAGACAAAATTACTCCAGCCATCTTATTCTATTGTATTGTGGTAACCACAAATATATGTTTTTTGCTTTTTGTCTTTTTTTATCAAACTTAAGTTCAACTCTGAGAAGAAATAAATTGCAATGAAGGATCAGAAACACTTGGGAAAATGTATATACATTTACTTAGTTCACTGTTGTCTTGTTTCAGAGTTGATGTGATTCTGTTGCTTGAAAGTTTCTCATAGGCAGGAGTGTGTTAATTATGGTGAGACTATCTAGTTTGTGAACATTGTGTAACAAACTTCCTTGTTTTAAGGAAATTGTGGACTTCTGTGGTTTTATCCCTGGGGCAGACAAGATTATTTCTTCTGAGATTTCAAGATTCCTCCCTTTGAAAATAAGATGAAAATATTTATTTACATGTCTCCTTGAAAATTTAAGATTTGACAGATTACCCTCCCCCCCCCCACACACACACACACTCACACACAAGAAACCCGTAATTACCTCATATTCAAACTAGGATAATTCAGTGTTACTGACAAGTTGCTATAGTTCTGTATGTTAGTGAACTGGTGAGAAGAGGTTACTGTCTGGAACATTTGCTCCTGTTGTAAGTTTATATGTGGTTTCCTAAATGAAGACCCAAATCAGTCATGTGCCATGGGGCTATCTGAAGTCAACATGAAGTAAGATGATTTGGGTTCAGAACTGTTGTGGAGGGCTCTGGGTTAAGAGCACTTGCTACTCTTGTATGGGACTAGAATTTGGTGCCCAGCACCCACATCAGCAAGTCACAACTACCTGTAACTCCAGCTCTAGGCAGCTCTGACACCATTCACACACACACACACTTAAAAATAATATATATACATACATACATACATATTTTAAAGTTGTAGAAGGAGGAGTAATACTAGTTTCAATTTTGAGAAAAAGGAAAACTTCTGAGTTCTCTTCCTTGTCCCCATTCTCCCAAAAGGGAAGTTAGCTTTTGGCAAATTTTCTCTGGTTTACTAATTATTAGCATGTAAATGATTGCTTTTATATAAATAAAAGCAGCCAGCAGAATTCTTAAATTTTCCTTGTTTTTTCCCTCAGTCCTAGGGATTGACCGGGTCTTGTTCTTGTTAGTTAAGTAAGTGTTCATCACTTGGCTGCATTCCATGCCATAACTGTTTTATGTTGTTGTGTAATTGAAAACAAAATGAAGAATGTAGTTTGGTTATATTTGGATATATTGAGATAATCCTGTCTCTTTCTGAAGTCTTAAATAATTTTTACTGTGGAAGAGTTAACTTTTAAAAAGTGATATGTTGCATTCTGAGCCTTTATATTTTATTTAGATTATAGCACTTCCAGTTACCTTGGAAGGGCTACATGTGTGTCCTTGTAAGCTTGAGTGTAAATGCTACAAGTATTTTGTGGGCCACAGGGGTAGTAGAGTGCCTGCTGATATCACTCAGACTTTTCAATCTCAGCTTTCCCTAGATAAATAAACAACACAAGTAGTAACTAATGAGTTTATTGACTTTTGCTGTATTTAAAGTGAAGTTCCAGCATTTAACCAAATACATGCCACAAATGAACAAAGGATAATTTCAGACATACTCAAAAGTAGAATAATATGATGAACATTCATTCATGCTAACTTACTAAGTGAGTTGAACTAGTCGCTCCACCCTTTGCTTTAACTTTAATTCTTTTTATGTATATGCTATAGTACCACCATGATGCTTCTTGATCCTGAATACAGTTGGCTTTTCACAGCTTGGGTCTCCAGCTTTGTAGCAGGGGTCGGATGTATTTCCCATAGGCAGGGTTCTCCTATGTTTACAGGAATCACATTATTAGAACACTTCTAGAATTAATGACTTCACTTTAATATTTAAGTACTTCACTTTAAATGAGTGACACTGCCTAAGATTCTTTTTTGTTTGGTTTTGTTTTTTGAGACAGAGTTTCTCTGCTCTGACTGCCCTTAAACTCCTCCTTTGTAGACCAAGATGGCCTTGAACTTACAGAGATTTGCCTTTCTCTGCCTCCCAAGTGCTGGGATTACAGGTGTGTGCCACCACCACATGGCAGTTACCTAAGATTCTTAATTTTTCAAATTATTTTTAAAATTCATTTTGTGTGAACATATAGTAAACACTTTTCCAAAAAGCCTCCTTTCTTAGGCAGATTTTAAATTATGCACACAGGTGCCTGATTAAAAGAAAAAGCTACAGCTTATTCTTTGTTTTCAGAATTTAATACAAATAAAAGCCTTCACTATTTGAGGCTCTTTGAAATTGAACATGAACCACAAAGCGAGCAACCAGAAAGTAGAATCAGATGGGCAATATTCTGTGTCAGAACAGGCCCCATCATTGTCTAATGCAGTGTCTGCATTCTTTTTTTCCATAGCTAAACTCTAGTCTTCCGTACTATTTTCTTGCTTATTTCCTTCTCTTTTACAGTAAAACTATAAAGTCCTAGGGGCTGAAGAGATGTCTTAGAGATTAAGAGCACTGGCTGCTCTTACAGAGATCCTGAGTTCAGTTCCCAGCCACTGTATGATGGCTCACAAACATCTGTAATGAGACCTAGTGCCCTCTTCTGGCCTGCAGACATACATGCAGACAGAACACTGTGTAATAAATAAATCTTAAAAAATAATAAGATCTTTAACAAAGGTCTACATTTTATTCTCCATTGTTTCTTCAATACTAGCACACCACCATTGTGCTATAAATATTCTTTGAATGAATGGACCAGATGTGTTTAATACTTCTCACTGTTTCTTTAGCATGTTTTTACAATATAGTTATTGAGAGAATTGGATTCTTGCTGGGGCGAAGTGATGTGCATATGTAATCTTGGCATTTGGGAGCTAGGAGTTTAAGGCCAGCCTGGGCTACACAAGACCCTTAAACACTAAAATAAGGGGGTTCTTGGTTTGCAATGACCCCCGATGATTCCTTCTTGCTTCCATAGGGAGTCACTTGGATGTGAACAGGTAGAATCCTCTGTGCAATTTTCTAGATCAGCCAGAAATCCAAAAGTGGACATCACAGAGTACACCAGGGGAGCATGGCATCCTATTCAGGGAGAAAGTTCAGCACAGTGTGCTCCAGACAGGAGAGACTTCTTTGGAGCTAAGAATGCAGCCTAGCACATACCACGTTACATCCGGCATAAGAGCACCAGTGAAATATTTTCTCACTTGTACTTTGTGTTCACAGGGCATGTTTGAACATAGCTGCTGTTTTAACCTAGTTAAAATACCTGGAATGTACCTTTTTTCTATTACAATGTGTGCTGTACTTCACAACTATGGCAGATCAAAAAATAGACTTTGAAACTATTGGTGCTTTCTGAAGAAGTAGAAAGTATGAGATCATGTGGCTGTATATTAGCAGCCAACCACGTAAGATTTTGACTAAGTGGAGTCAAAGTCATCTATCCTCCCATTCCTAAACTGCCATGCATGAAAGAGCCACACTGCTGCGCCTGTCACTTAAAAAGGTAGCATTAGGCCGGCTGATGAGTACCTGGCATCTGGATGCACTGACTGCTTTTGTGTCATTATGTAGGTCATAAGAAGCTCCATCCTTGGCCAAGTAGAAGGAAGTGGAGACGAAAGCGCAGGAAGAAGTATGTCAGCATTTTACAGAATTGTTTCTACAAACCTGCCATGGTTTCCAGATTAAAGTGTTTTAGAAGGAAGAAAAACAAAATGACCCACTACAGTCGTTAGTAGCCACGAGGAATCCAGGGGAGTGGAGTATTTTCCTGTGTTGCCACTGAGCTATGTGTCTCAGTATTTGCTGACAGGTGAGCAGGGAGAGGTGTGATGGTTCTACGAAGTACCAATGGACGTTGGTCTCTCTTGAGACACGGAAAGCAGGCTGGATTGGGAAGGATTGCTTTGCTTTTATGCCAGGATTTAAACATTAGCGAGGACAGAGGAATTATCATTAGAAAAGCAATGTACTAGAAGTAGGTTAGCCATAGGAGCAGTGAATGTGTAGGTAAATTGTTTCTATTTCCTAAAACGATGTCTTCTTGTGGATGACCCTTGACTGAAATACATTGGCCTGTCTGACACCCGTTCTGGAGGTTATGACTTTGGATGATAGTGTTAAGCTAAGCTCTGATGTGTGACGGAATACAAACTGTCAAGAGCAAATCTAATATCACCTTGCTTGTGAGTGAAAGCCCGAGTGTTGGTCACTGCATTGTAAAGATATGTTTCTGAAGTTGGACTAAAGAGAAAGTTCACCAGTTGAAAAGCATTTGTTTATAAAGTCTACTATACCCAACACTGTGAAACAACTCATGTGTGTGCCTAAGATAGATGGGTCCCTTGTTGGAATCATCTGTGTCAAGTCTGCTTTTCAATATGGGCTCCCTAAATTAGAAATACATTACCGGTTGATGTTCTTAACTTTGCCTCGTGAGGCTGGGATAACTGGCAGTACCTCAAATTTTCTATCACCTCTGACTATGCACTTTTATCTGCATAAAATGGAGCTAAAAGGCTGAAAATAAGATGGTTTACCACTGCTATGATTTATCTTAGTTTTGTTAATGTAAAAGTCAGCTTGCTGCTATATGTGTGTGCCTTGGGTTTGTCAAGCCATGATTTAGAAATGAGCTGTGCATTTTGCTGATTTCAGTTCCTGCCAAACCGCACCCCTGGTTTCTTTTATGTACTCTCTGGAAGTATTTTAAACAGATGCTCTATGCCAA